CGAGCCTCCTCTAGCTTTCCTTCTTTCTCCTCCGGGCATTCCCCTACCTCTTTCTTTCCGCACTTTCGGTTCCACTCGCGAACAACCGGGGTGCCGGTTGTCGTTTGCGGCTTCTATCACTGCGCGCGCATTTCCCCCAACGATTCTGGACACGAACATTATGAACCTGCCTTCATAATCCTTCTTGTAAACCTCGTTATACCCGCCGTAACCCGCCAATGAGACGGCCGGAATGGATTCCTATGCACCAGCACGTGTCAGGGCCGTCTCGACCAGACTCTCGTCTGCTAAAGCGCCTTTTCCGACGGACTTTCAACGAATCGTTGCTTATTCTACACGCCGATCAATCGATTGGGGGGTTCGCGATAATTCGAACGGAATGAAATTTCTCTAGAACTCGAACACATGTATGCTCTTTCATTTTTGTTTATTTGTTTTCCAGGAAAAGGACTCGTACGGAAATGAAGTCTCCAGGCTAGCGAGACCTTTGCCTGTAGAGTATTTATTGGTAGACATACCTGCATCCACACCGCTCACTCCTCAATACACTTTTCATGTTAGCAACAATGTCACTCCGTTTCCAATTGAGAATAGGTGTGTATCCGGCACGGGCAAAGCGGTTCGCAGTTTGATTAACGCAAAGTTTCTCCTCAGGCTCGTCGATGGACAAGTTCAAGATTTCCATTTACTTGGTTCCTATATGCAACAGTTCACTCCGGATCAATTTCTAGAAGCAACGTCGGACTTTCATTTATTACTTTACCTTGCAACCATGGAGATATTTCCAATGAAGGTAAAGTGTCCCTTGTGGTTTTCTTTTAAAAGTCAACCGCTTACCCTTGCTAAGAGACAGGTATTTTCTATCTTAGGACCATATGTTGCCACTGCTAGAAGCAGTTCGTGATAAAGACAAAGAAAAAGCAATAAAGTGGGCACGCTCTGATCATTGGACGAGAGTCGAGGAATTCCTCTCTACCATGATGCCTGCGGCTCATTCGTCTCAAACTTCGTTCAATAGTAGTTCCAGAATGCCATCCTCCTCGTCTGTGGGAACGAGTGGACTTAGAGATGGTTTAGAGCCACCTGCGAATCCAACTTCGGATGAAACGCTTTGGACTTGTTCTTATTGCACTTATATCAATGCAGTAGAACGTACAATGTGTGAGATATGTGGTTTGCCAAGGTATACGTAATAAATTGTCAATATTACATTGCTTCTGTATGCATTTAAGGGTGTTATCCATAAGTTGCTACTTTAATTCTGCAGGATCTGACGCATACTCAGTCCTCGCGGATGTAACAATTGTTTTCTACGTATCTTTGGCCTTATTTATGAGTGAATAAAAGAACAAAAAAGTATATTTCACTGAAGTGTATTCTCCAATTCTCCTCTGCATTGCAATCCTGTGCATTTATACACATTTATTTATAACCCGTACAGATATGCAACAACAAACGATATTGTAAATTATTACATTCACAGAAACAATAATGTCAATCCTTTAGAATAAGAAACTCAATATAAAGTATTTGTAGACAAAGGGAAATTGTAGTTCTTAAGTTACCGTAAGTCTTATACTCTGAAGAAACGAAATGTGTAAATGAACGATAAGTTTGATCAAAGAAATTATAATGTGATTGTAATGTTATGAAATTAAACAGATTGGCAGAAATTTACACCGTAATGTACAATATTTATTCTAAAAAGTAGTATAAAATTTCTAACAAACTTTTATTGTCAGCAATGACAAACCGAATTAAGAATACAATCTTTTAATTTCTCCATTAGCGTATCGCGATGTCGTTCACGACTTTGATCCTATTTTAATAATATACATTCCTTACAACTAATTCTGGACACAACTGAATCGGCCAGGTTCGAAACAGTTAGTTCATCGTCGTCGATTTTATACGTTTTTCTAATTAAGTCATGATCCGAAAATTCTGATAATCTTGAAATTGCTATTCGTTCCCCTTTCACACTGTCCAAGAGAGGTTGCGATAATGATTTTTCATCGTTTATTTTGTGTATTTGCGCTACCACTATATTTTTGTCGCGATCATTAATACCAAATTCTATTAACGAACGTGATATGTTCTTTGACATTGATAAATTATACAAAAGTTCCGTGTATAAACTCTTCGTGGTAAGTTGTTTCATCTTCTCATTGACCGCAGCTTTATTGGCAGCTACCAATATTTGAAACACATCCACTACGAGTGCTGCTTTTACAACAGCACAAGAAAGTTCACCGTTTAAAACTTTCAAACGTACTTCATCGATATTTTGCACATATGCAAATAAATAAATTGTGCAATACAATTCTGTTTCCGGATCTAATGGTACTGTATAGGCATCCATCTTTCGTTACCCAATTTAAAACGAACCGTTGTCTTTTAAGTTAGGTAGTATTATTTACATATACCATATACAATAAATCTGATAATTGTTTGCATATGAAAATATATTTTTTTATATGTGCAAAAAAAAGACAAACTATATACTACATAGAAACCTAGACATTCACCAGGCAGCTTGACGAAACATAACACCAGGGTGCGCTGATGCCATTTCGCGTTGCAACTGGAATTCGTTTAATTTAAATCGTTCAAATTTCAAATTGTACAATGTCAGATAAAATTAACTAACCGTACAATAATGTAAGAGTAGGATAAATTCAATTGTAATTTTCTTAAATCGTCTACAAAATTTCAAAGTGAACGAAATTACATTCTGGAAGCCATAGAGATTTTCAAAAATTAAACACCGTCAACCTCAAAAGTTGTCATGTCTAATTGCGGCCCTTGTCAATCTTTGCTGGGTAAATTCTTCAACTACGGTAAACGAAACGTTCTATTTTCGCGGCGGAACAGATGTGAAATCATTTTTTGAAATCCATCGGTTCATTTATTATTGGTCCAGTAAGCAAATCCAACTGGAATATCTGGAATGTGAGTCAAAACAAACAATCGGCGTGTCCTTCGAAACGGAAGAAAATAGAAAAAGAAGAAGGAAAAGGAGAAGAAGAAAGGGTAACTCAAAGATCATTAAACGGCGACCAAGAGGGGGCAGAGTCTCAATTTTCGGACGACATTTTGAAAGATTCCCCTGACGAAAAGGAATCACCATATACACCTCCCAGCCGAGTCTGTCCAACCGTTAAATCTTGTTGCTACATAAAAATGCAGGTGAACAACAACCTTGAGTCTTTTTCTATTTTTCGAAAACCACATTCTTGATCAAGAACCTGCGTCTACATATGAAGACAGCGTCGTAGTCGTCTTCAACGATCCGACAAAAATCATCGGGCCTAATAAAATGATTATATCTCAAGAAAAAATTATTTAAATTATCGAATCGACAATTTGAGAGACGCCTATGACGCAGTTGCCCATTACAATCTGCCACATGAACATCCACCGTGTCTCAGGCTCTTACAAGTTGGCATTGCACTTTATTTCTCGAAATTTTCCGAGTGTCAAAATTAATGAAACATTCGGGATCTCCTGTAAACACGCAAACGCCATAATTGAGAAATATTTTTAGGATCCTTGTGCCCCCTGCTGCTGCGAATCGAAACCAAAGCTTTCACCTTGCCCGCCCAAATATGGACGTCAGGAGTCACGTCAGCCGACATGTGGCTGCGATATTTGTCAGAAAAATCCTGGCAACGAGAAATGTTGCGACAGGAACAGAGAGTTTCGCGGTATAAGCCTTCACCCGAGGTACTTCGAGAAAGCGTGAACCGAACGGCACCGGAAGCATCGTCGAATAAACGGACCGGAGGAATTTAAGGTTACGAGTGCTTGAGCCACCTTCAATGTTTGCCGAACTAATTCGGACGATGCGTTTACGTGTCAGGAATTCTCTGAATAATCTTATCGACCGCCGGTTTCCAGAATGAACGGGTTACCTGATCGGCGATCAGTTACCCGCCAACTGTGCTCGAAGCACGATTCGACTCTGAACGACCATCGATTGTTGCCCCGTAGGTATTTATCGAGATTTTCAACTTATCGTCCTGGTGCTGCCCGCGAGCACGATTCGACTCTGAACGACCATCGATTGTTGCCCCGTAGGTATTTATCGAGATTTTCAACTTATCGTCCTGGTGCTGCCCGCGAGCACGATTTTGAATTGATCACGTTACGCAATCGTGTTTTGCAACGCGTCGAAATTAATCAAAGATCCGTTTAGAACTCTATCGATTTAACCTTTCAACCGACAACTAACCGGGTCAGCGGTATTGATGTTTTCTATTTATCACGTGGCGACGTTTCCAAAGAATTTCTTCGATCGCGATCAATGAAACAAACAAAACATCCGTGGATTGTTTCGATGAAATAATGTCAGGTAAATTCGTGAGGAGATAAGTAACATTTTCGACGGATAATAATCTCTACCGATGATTGCGTTATCTGTCATGTATTTGTTCTTCTACACATTGTAACAATTTCCAATTCCTGTCCACCTGTGGAGCGAGGATTTCCCTCGTGCAAACCTAACTTCAGTCGACGACGCTTCCAGTGACGACACTTCGAGATTCGTCGAGTTTCGTATCGGTTTCGACACGTATGCAGTGAGAGTGCATCGGCCGTGTGAGTGAAGATCGGTTACACTTTGTGCAAGCTGCGAATATACCACTGCGTTCACCCCTCGTGCGCTGGAGATTCGGTAAGTGGCAAACTTGTCGTTATTGGCTTTTTTCTAACGCTTTTTCGGGACTGCGGACATTTCCGACGTATGACTCATTCTGAATAAGCACGCATACTCGATCAATGAATTGAAACCACCGCCCACTGAAAACCGATCAGGCTGATCAGTCAGTATTACTCTAAAGCGTCTAATACATAAATTTCTTCATTTATATTCGCCGATCTAAACTTCGAAAATTCTACGCGTTCGAATCGACACTATTATCCTCTCGAATCTACTACGTTCACCGACATACTTTAAAATTCTACGTTTTAAAATGTCCATCATCCTTCTGCGTAATACCGTATAATCGCGGGAAAATTCAAACCGGCTCGAAGAAAAGATCGTGTTATCCCGTTAGAGGTGTGGCGTTCAAATATTCCTCGAAAGCTGACAAACCTAAAATTTTATCTGTTATCGATGTTCCCGTTTAATCGTAGCTTATCGTTGGACTGTAGGGTGGAAGACGTTTTATCTTCGGGCACCAGGAAAACGTGAAATTCGTGGTAACGTAGTCGGTCGTTTTGGTTATGTTACGATTCGGATCCGGCGTGCCGCGATCGCCAATGAAATTTAAAATTCACGCAACTTCGACTCGTGCCACAGGACTCGCGCCCCCTGATTGGCTGTCCGCTAGTCACCGATCCCTCTGTGTTTCCTGTCTCCTCCGTTGCTGTACCTTCCCTGGTTTCCTCGTCGTGCTTTTATATGTACGTTCGGCCGCTTCTTCGGCTAGTCCATGTTTGACATTCGAACGAGATTATTTTCTGGAGCGGACAAGGCAAAAACATGTTGACGCGTGAGTAACTCGTGTATTCTATGCGATTACGCCAGGTTAACCTGACCTGTTCTCGGACCAGATTTTTCCCGTGAGAATCGGCGAATTTTTCCCGGTATCGAGTATTCTATCGAAAATCGTGAAAATCGTGAAAATCGTGAGAATCGTTTTCCTTTTGGAAAACGGTATTTTTCTCTGAGGATCTTCCCGGTGATCGATGTCGATCGACGACAGGACACGGGTTTAACGGTCAAAGAAATTCAATAAAACGATTACTGTAATCGGTATCGCGCGATCGATGAATTTCTTTCTTCCTTATCTGTGTAAACAGATATCTATATCACGCTCATCGAAGCGTCGATAGTATCAGCGATTTATCGAATCTTTGACGCGAACGTGTTTCCAACGGCATTTTGTATCTTCGATTTTTGAAATCTTGTTGACGTCTGTGTCGGCGAGAATTGAAAATGAAAATACGCCGATATAGTTACGTTGATAGGAAAGTCTTTCAGCGAAAACTGATGAAATAAACGTGGACGAGCGTCTGTAAGAGAAATGTATTTCTATATTCTTGATGGATACGTCACAGTGCGCAATAAAAGTAATAAGTATAAATCACGTCCCGGCACGACCATACCAGATTTCCTTGAAACAAATTCTACGTTCTTGAGCGTTCGTCACTATTCGTGACTTTTTAACGCGTTGAATGCCACGAGGGTTACCGATGACCCCCAGCCAAATAGAATTACCATATTTCACTGAATTAAACGATGATTATTTAAGAACATTTCTATGTTATAAACAATGCCGAATGCGGTGACATTCAGCCAGAGGAACGTGCGATAATTTATTTTTCCTTTTTATTTTATTCGACAAACAATTCTTAAGAACGCTCGACCGGTGATTGGGAGCGAATTGGATAATTTTAATCGAATGTTTTGCAAACAGTTTATGTAACTTATTGGCGCATAACAACAGTTTCGAAGACTATGAGTAATGCTTGTTGGAACATCGTGTTTGCTGATTACCATGTTTGGCATATACTGTTTTATATCTTTTTCTTCTTCGCCGCGCGAGAACGTGTTGAGAAATCCCCAGCCGTCTCGATAAAACGAGACTACTATCCGCGCCTCGCCGGGTTTTCCCCAATGCCACTCGGGAATAAGTTGTGAATCCTTAAACGCCACTCGGGGATCTCTCGTTCCTCTTCGACAGCAGTCGTCACGAAAATATGCTCGACGTAAACATTACAGTGCCGAATACGTGCTATTTATTTTCCGATGAATAATTTATAAAATATACTACTTTAACAGCAATGTTCGTGGCATCTTTCGGACCTTTTTTCAACGGAAGTATTTTTACTTAAATGTCACCGAGATACATACTATTTATTTTTAAATAAATTATTCACAAATTATCCGGTCTCGAAACATCCGAGGACATTTTTGTGAATTTAGAAACAGAGATATTTTATCTGAAATGATTTTTTTGTTTAGCAATTATCGATATCTTCGAAGCATCGAATATTCGAAATGATTTTGAAAATAAATATCATTTGAGTACTATAACGAATGTCTGAAGAAACTGAAAATTATTGTTACAGTTTTTATAGGAATTGCATGTTAATCGTATTAAATGCTCGGTAGTTCTGAATGCTCTCTGTCCCGCTGATTATTGCAATTATCCAATGTTCACGGCAGATCACAATTGTTCCTTATTATATAATTCCCGTGGAAGGGAAATGGAAAATTCTCCGAAGATGAAGACGTGTTTACGTGTGTCGCGATAATTGTTTCGTACAAAATGAAACTCTATTACGGTGTTATTTTGATTTTACCAAAGCAACAATTTCAGAATAAAATGTGAAATTCATCTACGGTGTGCAATTTTCGTTTAAGACGAGTTTCTCGTTGTCATTGTTAATCGTTTCACGTATTCGACCTTCGGTCATCCTGACCTTCCGCGAACGACGAACCTCGAACCTTGAATTTTAAAACTGTAGGGACCTGCATGCTAATTAGCATACGCCAGTTGCTTCTG